CCCCCTAGAGAGAGGGTTATGTTTAGAAGTGGACTATTAACATCTGATATGATGATAAAGTATGTTCTAAGTTAGTTATCTTGTCCATGTATCAAATTTCATTGATGTAAATTCTAGTAATGATGCATTCGAGTGACTTGAAGCTAACCATGCTCATTTTAAGGTGGCGACGAGGTGGGACCGATCGTTGAGTTCCCTAAAATAACGGGATTGTCCTCAATGACGACTGGCTCGTCTGGGGGGAAGGGATTGTTATCAATGGAGTTTGACAGCCACATTGCTACCAATATGCCTTATAAGGTCGATCTCCACGTGGTTCACCCTGGAAACCGTCGTGAAAAATTCTCGTTGAATTCGTCACGATGGGCTAACTGACCTGTTTCATCCTCATCTATCAACCGTCACTGGTGCCCCGCCGGTGTATACCGATAGCGCGGGTGGGGTTAATATTTCATTATTACCTATAATAAAAAAAAAATACTGACTCATCTGTCATACTCGTGAACGGGTGCTGCTTGTAAGGACTGATCTGCTCGTTTGTTATGTATGAACAAATATGAAATCGTCTTGTACATAAATGAATTGAAAAGTTTAACTGTTGAGTTTCTAGTGATTTGTTTTTAGTAGGTAACAATATTCCGAATCCAGTGATAGTTGATGATGATCATTTTTAAATACATGATGATATCATTTATATATATATATATATATATATATATATATATATATATATATATATATATATATATATATATATATATATATATATATATATATATATATATATATATATATAAATGTCTACGATACGTCGTGTACGGTATAAATATAGGTAAATGGACTTATCTCTATAATATTATGTCTTCCTCTCAACCTTATTTCATTTTATTACTTTACAGTGTTTTTTTTTTTCGATAATATTTATATGTTATTGTGATTCAATTATTTTTTACACTTAATTGGCTGATGTTACTTTTTTCTTTTTTAAATAAATCCGTTATTATTTTTAAATATAGAACGTACCAAAGAAACGTATTGTACGACTAGATATGTCTATTTTGTAACAAAAGAATAATATTACAGAGGATTTTGGTTTGGATCGTAACCGCTAGGGGCGCTGTACAAATATTCCATTGTCAACAGAGGTTCGTCTAGGTAGGTAATCTCACGGTAAACGCCTGGTTAACTTCACTGATTTGGTATCTTTTTTTTTCTATTTATTTATCTACTGTTTATTTACTTATCATTATGCCAGGCTTTTATCGAGATAGACAGAAAAAGCCTATATTTAGAATTTTGCTTTATCGATAAAATAAAAGATTTTAATAAAACATAGGTACTTTAGTAGAGTTTCAACCGACTTAAACAAAAGGTTCTTAGTTAGGTTGGTTTTTTTTTATGTTATTTACTTTATAAATACGTCACTTATATCTGATTTAAAAGTTTTTTTTTTTTTTATCAGAAAGGATATGCTTTCAAATTAGTCTAATAGGAATTTTTTTTAAAATCGGTTCAGTGGTTTGGTTGTTAAACCAAAATTACTGGTTTTGATTAAAAAAAATGAGTATGAGGAATCTTCTTCTTCTTAATCTCCTTCAAAGAAATATGGGCGAAAAATTACCAGAAATGGGACGACTATATTAACTTCATACTGTAGTTATTAAGTAAATACATAACGGTTGCATAATTTTTATTACCAGAGGGAGACCTTGTACAAAAGTCGATTGCTTGGGTACCTCTGTCCCATTCGTGTTTCAACTGTGAAGCAGTTGTGTTTGCATGGCTGTGTTTCGGTTTGAAGGGTGGGATACGGCGTGAATTTACTGGGTACAGAGAAATAACACCTGAGTCCTCAGGAATGGCAACGCATGGGGGGTATCATGGGCGAAACAGTATACTCTGTTATGTCCATGATACTGCTCATGTCTATAAGTTACCACTTTCCATCAAGTGGGCCGTCAGCTTGTTTGCCATTCTAAGTTATATAAAAAAAAATATTATCGTTATGTGACACATATTTCATGTAGGAAAAACCAATTTCAATTTTTAAATTTGTCCACTACTAAACATATGCCTCCCCCATAAACTGCTATAAGGAACAGTTCTAAGCCACCTGCATCCATTGATACACTGCAATGCATTTCTTTTTACGCAACTTAGAACGGCGAACAAGCCGACGGCCCACCTGATGGAAAGTGGTATTCGTCACCTATAGACATAAGCAGTATCATGGACATAACAGAGTATACTGTTTCGCCCATGATACCCCCCATGCGTTGCCATTCCTGAGGACTCAGGTGTTTTTCCTCTGTACTCTGTAAATTCACTGCCATATCCCACCCTTCAAACCGAAACACAGCCACGCAAACACAACTGCTTTACGATTGAAGCACGCATGGGACTGAGGACTGCCTAAACAAACGACTTTTGTACAAAGTCTCCCTTTGGTCGTTTGCATTTGGGGTCGTCACTCCATCTAGTGGGGGTCGTCCTACACTGCGTTTGCTCGTATGGGGTAGCCACTCGAGAAATTATCTTCCTTATCGGTTGTGGGTTCTTCGAGCTATGTGATCAGTCCATCCTCACTTCCGCTATTTTTTTATTTTAAGGGCTTTTACCTTCTTCAGGCATATCAGCCCTATCCTGCCCTGAACTAATTTCTCAAACAAAACTTTATCTACTTTCCCTAGATGCGGAAAAAGAAGAATTATGGGCATCAATAATTTACAGAGATGTTCAAAAATTTCTGGTTTAAGTTCAGCTAACATAGATTGGCCTATCCTTTACATCATTTTCACTAATTAAATTTTATTTTCTATTCCATCTATCCGTTTACTATAGAATTTTTAACAATTATAATTTTTATTTTAATAAATATATTCTTATCGTCACAAAGGGAAAGTGTTTTTCTTTCCTTGATTAAGATTTATTTTCTATTTTCTCTGTCAACGTTTTCTCTTATCTTTTGAGAGAATAAATAACCTAACCTACCCTCTCCTCCATCTTGTTTTCCCTTCTGTCCGAAGGTTGTCTGTAAGAGATTTCTCAAGCGATAAGATGTCTTTTGTCGTAATGTACATGCCTTATGTTTTTTTTTTAATTTCGTATCTACATAGTGCAGTTAAATAAATAAATGTCCAGTAAACAAGCTGATCGAGCATACGGATTTATTATTGCTGAATGCCCCTTATTTTATGGGTTAATTTTTTTTAATATATAATAAAACGGATACTGTTAATTTAAAAATAAAATACGAAGTAATTAACTCTTCCGTATTTATCATAAATTCGATCAGGGTGGGCGCAATTCATACGACCAAATGCTGATGTATTTTATGCGTGATTTATTTTTGTATACAAAATGCCAAACTCATAACCTACCTCATTGAAAGTGGTAACTTTTTAACATGATCAAGTATCATGGAGATAATAGAATTATACTACAGGTTAAGATCGAAGTCATCAGTGTCATTTCCAGAATGTATTTTATCAAATAAATATTTAAAAAAAAAAACTAAGTAAAAAATAAACCTACATGTTCATATTTCTTTAATAATCAATGTAACAGTTTTCGTTACACAATGGCAAGTCAATATTTACATTATTCTATTTAAATTTATAAAATAAATATTAATAAAAAACAATGATAAATAACAAAATTTTAACATATGAGAGAAAAATAACATTATAAATTAATTACAATATTATTGACATGTTATTGTTAATAATAATAATAATTACATGTCAATAATGATGATTGATGATTATTAATATGATAAAATATTTTATTATAAAAAAATATTTTGAAGAATGAATGAGTATACTTTATTTGCATTATACAATATAGGGAATAAGCAAGACAATTAATAGATATAACGATACTTATATCTATTAATTGTCTTAAATTATATAGTCGATAAATTAAAGAAGTTTGAGTATCCCATACAAACGTGATGATTTCAATTGTTAAGTTAGTGTATGGCACATTAAATAATTCGTCCTTTTTCAATTTTTTAATGAAGTTTCTTTTCCAATATATTCTATTGCATTTATATATGTATATTACATATCCTACTCTTAGTTTTCTCTACCACTAACGATTTTGATTTTACCCCTTATTATGTATAATGAAAAAAGAAAACAAAGCATTTTGAATCTTCAAATTAATGCTTATGCAATAAAAAAAATCGTTTAAACCTATAACCTTATTTCTAAGCCTTATTTATTACGTTGGTAACATTTAAGAATAATTTAATGGCAACTCTAAATTAATTCTCTTATTCCTACTTCACGTTAGAAACAAAGGAGGGGTACTTTGTATAAAAGTCGATTGCTTGGGTACCTCTGTCCCATTCGTGTTTCAACCGTGAAGCAGTTGTTTTTGCATGGCTGTGTTTCGGTTTGAAGGGTGAGATATGGCGTAAATTTACTGGGTACGGAGGAATAACACCCGAGTCCTCAGGAATGACAACGCATGGGGGTATCATGGGCGAAACAGTATACTCTGTTATGTCCATGGTACTGCTCATGTCTATAGGCGACGGTTACCACTTTCCATCAGGTGGGCCGTCAGCTTGTTTGCCGTTCTAAGTTGTATAAAAAAAATGGTATTTTACATAAATTTCACAATTATTATTCTATAGAATAACAATGGAATATTTAACGAATGTGGAGTGCCGCTCCCTACAACCATGCCCGTTTTACAAATAATAATATATTTTATGTATTTGAAATAAAAATATAATTAGGCACCTATCATTTAGGTGATTATTAATACTTTATTCCGTTGACATCCACGCCGGTTGATGAAAGCCATTCAAGTACAGATTAAAGCCGAATGAAAACCTTTTCCATAGACAGTTTAAAAAAAAAAATACGAAAACATCAATTTTCGGAATGTGAAAATGGCGCGAACATACGTCAGATAGAAAAAAAATCGCGCACTGTTTCCCGCTCTTTTTCACGTCCCCTTCCCAGACGGACAGCTCAGTCGCTAACGTACCGCCGCGTGGAGAGCACGCGTGACGTCGTAACCCAATTTGTACTACCGTAAAAAATTCCCGCTTGAGTATTGGATGCCGCACTATTTCTGTCACAGTGACAAAATTATATATTTAGACGATAATTTGTGAGATATAAAAAAATATATATTTGTGTGACATAGTGATTGTTTTTTTTTTTTTGTGAAGTGATGTGATTTTTGTGTTCGGGATTTTTTTTAGTTCGCTCCCATTTTTCGGAAGACTTATTGTTGCAGGTATGTGCAATTTTAAAACTTTATTAATTAAATATTATTTGTTCAACACATTAAGAAATATTTAACACTATATTTTATATTATTAATATAAATAATAAAAAGTTTATTATTGGAATCATTGTAAAATAAAATTGTGGAAAAAAAAAATTAGAACCTAAGTATTAATTTTAAATCTATTTTTTCTAAGGTAATTTTTGTGTACAAAATTTTAAATTATTAAATTTCTTAACACCCTCGAGTATCTGTTCTCATTTTAATGGTAGACTTGTAAAGATTGCGTATACCATTTCGTACGCCTTTTGCACCACATTTTATTGGTCAATAAAGTTGAAGTAAATACTAAATAATATATTAAGATAGGAAATTTGATTAATTAAAAATTCTAAAGTGACAAAAAAATGTTTTATGTCTCCTATACTAATTTGACAGCTGGACGCGACATGTTAGTATGAAGGATCAAATTTTTTTGTTATTTTTCGACCCATATTTCTGTTGTGCAAATGTGCTTATAGTTTCACTGACAGAATACTCCCTTAGAATTATGGTATGTATTTTGACCTTACCTGTATACACACTAGTTCGAAAGGGAGAAAACTCGAAATAAATGTATATAGGGAGACTTTGTACAAAAGTCGATTGCTTGGATACCTCTGTCCCATTCGTGTTTCTACCGTGAAGTACTTGTGTTTGCATGGCTGTGTTTCGGTTTGAAGGATGGGATATGGCGTGAATTTACAGGGTACAGCGGAATAACATCTGAGTCCTCAGGAATGGCAATGCATGGGGCGACAGTATACTCTGTTATGTCTGTATGTATATGTGGCGAAACAGTACACTCTGTTATGTCCATGGTACTGCTCATGTCTATAGGCGGCGGTTACCACTTTCCATCAGGTGGGCCGTCAGCTTGTTTGCCATTCTAAGTTGTATAAAAAAATATAGACAGTCAACTGCCCGACATGTTAATAGTGAGTTTTATGGGAGGGGAGAAAGGGATTGTTAATAATGGGGCCTTGTTACACGATTGCTAGTATTATAGGGTATATTAACCAGTTTAGTCCCCCTTAGAAACTATTGTGGTATTTTTTTGTTGAATTCGTCTCGATTTGCAAATTGATCTGCCTTTTCATTCTCACCTATCATCCCTCACTGGTGAATCGCCAGAGTATACCGATAGAGCTGGTGAGTTAACCTTTTAGTTTAATATTTTTTATGGGATCTTGGACCCAGTAATGGGACCTTAATAGGTTATAATAATTGTTGTAATGATAATATGTATGCCACATGCTCTTTTGCTTCCTGATTAAAAAAAAAAAAAATATATATATATATATATATAGAAACGCGAATATTTAATTTTCTGTTGAAAAAATTAATAGCACGCGCGAGTAATTTGCTCGATGAAAACATTAGACTCCTTTTAAGGGAACGGATGTAAAAAAAATGTAAAAAGCCGCGTAATTATTTTGATTATTTATTTAACACAGACGAGGAGTGCAATAGACTTTTTTTTATGCATTTTTAACACTTTACGTAGATAAAACAAGAGGGAGACTTTGTACAAAAGTCGTTTGCTTGAGCACCTCTGTCCCATTCGTGTTTCTACCGTGAAGCAGTTGTGTTTGCATGACTGTGTTTCAGTTTGAAGGATGGGATATGACAGTAAGTTTACAGGGTACAGAGGAATAATACCTAAGTCTTCAGGAATGGCAATGCATGGGGGGTATCATGGGTGAAACTGTATACTCTGTTATATCCATGGTACTGCTCATTTCTATAGGCGACGGTTACCACTTTCCATCAGGTGGGTCGTCAGCTTGTTTGCCATTCTAAGTTTCATAAAAAAAAATGTAATTTCATTTAGTTCATTTATTAAAAATAATGTGGTTTATTTTATAATCATTTTTCTTTTAATTTTAAATAGAGAAAAAAATGTGAAAGTTTTTATTCTTTTTTTATTACCTTTTTGTATTAGTAAGTAAAGAAAAAAATCTGAAGACCTGTCTGATGGAAAATTGTAACTAATATGAATAGCACTAAGAAAAATATAGAATAATTCATTGCATGTGTTACTAAGTGTGTCCTAAGGTCTAAGGTGTTATGTCAGAAAAAAAAAGAGATTTTTAGTAATAGAATAGCCCCATTGCTATTTTTTTTTGATGGGTGAAAATAGTATGGTAACCCCGCCTGCGCTAACGGGATACGCTGGCGGAGCACCAGTGAAGGGTGATAGATGAGAATGAAAACAGGCCAGTTAGCCCATCATGATGAATTCATCAGGAATTAACCATGATAGTTTCCAGGGGGAACCGCGAGTAGGTCGACCTGGTTGGGTATATTGCTGGCAATGGGATTCTCAGTCTCCATTACTAACAATCCCTTTCCCCCGCTCCATTGCTATTAATATACCCTATCACAGGGATGGGATCAACTGTTCGATCGCGATCGATCGGTCAATCACGACTGTTATAGTCCAGTCGATCGTGGCAAGGCAAAATTATATTTTGCTAATCTAGCGGAAGATGCTCAGACGCAATGCTCACACTAATATAAATAAGTAGTTACTAAGAATAATTTTCATTTTTATGTTTTCCCTCTTAATAAAATAAAGTATACTACAATACTACATAATTGTGTACTGAATTATGTTGTTTCATTTGATTTCACTACTCATGTTTATAGACAACGGTTACCACTTTCCATCAGGTGGGCCGTCAGCTTGTTTGCCATTCTAAGTTGTATAAAAAAAAAGATTTCAAGAAATATATAATTGGTAGATCGTACAGTGTATCGTTAGTAAATAGTAAATTCTTATTGAATTTATCACATTGGGCTAACTGACCTGCTTTCATTCTCACTTATCATTTTTCACTGGTGCCCCATCAGCGTATACTGATAGCCCAGGCGGGGTTACCATTCCATTATCATCCATTAAAAAGTATGGCCGAATAACACTCAGTGCTTTTTTTTATTTTGATGCAACTTAGAATGTCAAACAAGCTGACGACCCCTTAATGGAAATTGGTTACTGTCGCCAATAGACATGAACAGTAATGGACATAACAGAGTATACTGTGCCGCCCATGATCCCCTTCTTGCCATTCTTGAGGACTAAGGTAATGTAAATAATAAAAATTAATACAATTTTGGGTTTTGTTTTTAGAAAAAGTTGTTATCTCTTTTGTCAAATAGATATCAGAGTGCTTGCTGAAAATTAGCTACTGAACTGTTTGTCTCTTTTGTTGACACTAAATTTCCAATTTGAAAGAAAGTAACAAAACTATATAACAGTAAAGGTAGATTTGTAGGTCTTAATTTTTACGAATAAAGCGTCACAATTAGTATTTATTAAATGGTATTTCTGTGTTTTAAAATTCATATTTGGATTATTTTAAAATAAATATGATTTCCTTCATAATTCGAAGAGCACGTAACGCTCTCGACCGGTAAGTTGTATAAGAAGCTTTCGTGTATTGCGAAAGTGGCTTAGAAACTCTTGACATTAGAGGGCGCTACCGTTAGACGAATCGAAACATTTGTATTTTAGTACAAACAATGTCGTATCACTAGAGAAAGAGGTTACTATTATTATTTTATTACCTAACGTGTTTTGGAGGAGGAAGGGATTGTTAGTAATGCGGACTATAAGTCCCATTGCTAGCAATATACCCTGTCAGGTCGACCTCCAAGTGGTTCTCTCTGGAAACCATCGTGCTGAATCCCAACTGTATTCATCCCGATGGGCTAACTGACCTGCCTCTTCATTGTCACCTGTCATCCTTCACTGGTACCTCGGCAGCATATACCATTTTTTTTTAATTGGTGAAATGATAAATAGTTACCCCGCCTGCGCTATCGGTATACGCTGGCGGGGCACCAGTGTGGGATAATAGATGACTATGAAAACAGGTCATTTAGCCCATCGTGACGAATTCCACTAGAATTAACCACGACGATTTCCAGAGGGAACCGCGTGGAGGTTGACCTGACAGGGTGTATTTCTAGCAATAGGTTAGTTACACCCCATTACCAACAATCCCTTTCCCCCCAGCGTATACCATTAGCGCAGGCGGTGTTACCGTTCCATTATCATTAATTAAAAAAATCGTGTTTATTTCACCCTAAAACTTTAGATACTTCAAACGTAGCGTGAAAAAGCGCTTAGTAAGCCGACATAGTGCGGCCAACCATTGATAGCAAATCATTCTCTTTTCGGCTGACCGTATTCAGGGACCATATTATTTCTGTATTCACTTAGGACGGTGTGGTCACATGTCGTACTAAAATAAAAAAAAAAAAAGATTTCACACAATGAGACTACGAGATAGACAGAGAGAACTGAGTTTTTTTTTATACCACTGAGGTGGCAAACAAACAAGTGCCAAAGTTCCATCCTTTACATACATCGCTTATTTAAACCATTTTTATAAGTCGTGAGATGCATGTACGACAACATTATTTATTTATTTATAAATTACTCACCACACTTACAGTCTCCCAAAACGTGTACTGAGCCATAGGTTTATTTTACAAACTTAAAAATTTTAAACAGCATTTAATAAAATATATCTATTTTGTCATTAAATATATCAATATCTAGCTGTTGAGCAATCGGAGAATTAAGCAGAGAAATAGCCTGATAAGTGGGAGCAAACTGAGCAGTACATGTGCGAACCGACGGTGCCGATAGTAATCGAAAAACACACAATCGCAACATATTACTAACGATCTCTTTCTCTTATATTTATGTACCTAATGAAATACCATGCTTGCTGTGTGGTCCCGGCATAGAATAGGCCACCCCTTCCCGTCCCGTGGGTGTCGTAAGAGGCGATTAGTCGCCTCTCCCTTAGGGGAGGGAGAGAGAGGAGCAGCAGCGTCCCTCTTAAAACATCTCCAAAGCCTAACCGCGGTTGCCAATTCGCCTGCTAAGCGTGGCAACTACTGGCAAACCCCTCAAGGGGAAGGCTTACGTTCAACAGTGCACAGTTAAAGGCTGA